GCACATATGGATAGAGCGTAAACGGCTCTATCAGATGCCCTTCGTCAAAGGTGAGCAATATTCGATCACCTCGATGAGAGAATAAATAATATGTCACTCAATACTTAATGCTATATGTTCTGTTGCAAGCGCTGGGGCCACCAAGCTATCGCGGATTTGGTGACAGTCCCCTAACCCATTAGCACGTATATTTTTGGCAGCCTCACTTGATTTAATGCGGCGTTGATGCTTCAAGTTTGAAACTACTTGAAGTGACGAGCTTAGATTTTGAGCACTTGTAAACACGACCCATGCGATAGTGCCTATCTATAGACCTCGATCAGAAATATTCGATATGTACTAACATCGCCCAAAACTTGGACATCCAATTATTTTTCTCTTTGAGAAAACTACATTTATTCTTTAGGTGCCCCATTACTTTCCGATCACCCTAATATAAATGACCTATATCTTGACAGACAACAAAAGCACCTACAACGGTACAAATATATGGGTACTTCTCAATGAATAGAGTATGTGACCACGTGTGTGGAAGGAACCCAGGAGCATTAGGAGCGGAGTTTTCCATTCTACCCCCTCATTTTTTTTCGTTTAAGGAAAGCAAAAATAAGGAACTGTATGTTGAAATCTCTTTTTTATCAAGTATGTTTAGATGAAAAGGGGATTTGTAAGATTTTCGAACGGATACTTTGATTCAAGGTGAAGACCTTTTTGTGTACTATCAGAGCTTGGCTATAAACTCTATATGAATACGATTTAGGCGGTGCTTGGTAACCGTCTTGTGGATCTTGCTCTGCTCTATCGTAACCTAAGCTAGTAACCTAAGCTGCACTCAATGAAGGGAAAAAACAGAAAGAACACATTTGAAAATCGGATTCAAATTATGGGACACCCTAATGTGCACGTGTTTACGAAAATGTTGTGGATTCTGCACGGCAGGGCCCTTTTTCTAGTGTTTGGTTTACGGTAAGGGGGATGGGGGCGAAATCCCGAAACATGATGATCACGACTACGATATTGGACGCGCTTGAGGTCTTTTTCAAAGTATTAGGTTGTTGCAAAAATAATGTCCGTTTTGCAAATTTTTACTTTGGAAGGCTATAACTTCGTTCAGTCTCCATATTTTTGAATGAAGTCAAGACCATCAGAAACATCAAACCCTTCTTAACATAGCGCGCCCCTGCCCATACTGATATCGCAAACGGGAAGAAAACCATGCGTCAGAAGGCTGAAAGTTTTTCTCTTGAAAACCTCGTCTTCAAGAGCTTACAACTCCCTTCAAGCTTTGTCCCTATGTCTGCTAATTAGCTTATTTTGTAACCGCAGGCCAATAGTATAGGTGTGTATAGAAAAAACTCCAACGAAGGAATTCTGCGAAAAGAAAAGATAAAAATTCAAAAAAGGTCACTCTTTTGAGCCTATTTGTTGTAGGCTTGTAAGTGCCTAATTATGGAAATTTGGAATTCTTCGCGCACTGAATAGCTAAGTTTCTCTTCAAATAATGTAGTTAAGGTGTGCTAATTTCAAGCTTACAGAAATGGGCGAAGCTTTGGCGATTGCCTTAATTATGAGAAATTTCTGACCCACAGAATGCCAGCAGCGAGTGTCTATTTTGACGCGTCAATTTCTCAGTCCATATTTCTCTAAAAATCTACATAAGCACGCAGTAGGTAAACAATCTTCATCCAATACACTTGCTCTGTTTTCAGAAGAATTCGTTTATTTGCTCCTGAATTGTCGTCAAGAAAGTGGAAGCTATGAGATTCTGATTTTGAGTGCGGATGCAAAAAATGCTGGTGAAATTCTCACAAGTGAGGATAGCAGCTTAATTTCACCGCCATGAGAAAGTACATGAAGAGAGCTTTCCAAAGATATGCAGATGCTATATCGAAAAAGAAAGTCTGATGGGGAAAAAGTTGTTTGGAATATAGGTCTAGAAAAACGGACATTATTTTTGCAACAACCTAATAATTACAGGTGACACATTCAATATTCAATGCAACTTCGCGAGAGGATGCTCCAAGCGCTATCTACCACAATTGTATTATAACAAACATATTGAAAAACCCTACTAAACGAAGTTTTCAGCAAATTTGGGAACCTGTTCTACTATCGTATACTCAATATAGCTTTGGAAATTTGCTCTACTGGAATTGACATCAATATCGTGATTAGCACGTCAATTTACCCAAGGAAAAGTTACGGTCTATTCTATGACCTTGACGCCATACCAAAAGCCTATCGTTAGTCCACCGAAAGGCGTTATTTAAGGATTAAATATGATAATCGTCATCAGATGTCGAAGAACCTGCGGAAAATTACAGCAGATTTTAGATCTTGACATTATAGCTATGCATCCCGTAAGTCATCGAAAAAACCCATCAAGAAAAGTGGTTTATGACTTTCATCGTAAGGGTGTCACAGCTCCTGTGCAAAATTTCAGCGAAACCTGAGACCTCGTCTATGGTTGGAGATTCTTAGGAAGGGGTAATTAGACAACGTGCAACTTCGCAAAAGTCATTGGCAGGCAGGTAAAAAATTTAGTGGACATTTTAAAAAATGAAATGAATGTATAAACAAAAGGTCTGTTCCTGAAGAAGAAAATCTTTGTTTTTCATTAATTTGACCTCTTTGACAGCCGCTGTATAACAATCTTTGAGGTTTTGAACAAGTTTTCTTTTATTTCCGCGGGCTTCAAGATGGCGGCCCCACAGCGAAATCCTGTGGAATTCAATGCCGACAAAGGCGAGTTTCGAAGTCAATTTTGAACTAATTTTTTGTCAATTTTTTTCTTTCGCTTTTTCTTGCTTGGTTACCTCTTTCACTAAACTCTATGTGTGAGGGACTGGCTGTCTTCTCCTCTATCTTGTCCGTATCGTGGATTCGAACTAAAACTGGAGGGGGTGCCTCAAGCATTCATCTTTCATGTTCGCCATTCTTCTGTTTTACTTTACTTTCCACCTAGCCTCTGCATCCTCCCCGTTCTGCTCCCATACCCTGTACTGCAGTACAGCGTTCCTGTCATAGTTTCGTCATCGCTGTTTTGTTCCAAGTCGCCCTTTTACGAGCGAAAAAATGAGCTGTACTGCTACCACTTGCACCAAGCTTTGGACGGGGTTATTTTAGGTGACGAGAGTTCATTTTCATCCAGTAAATCAATAGAAAGCCATTGTCAATCTGTAAGGCATTATCTCGCTAATGTTAAGGAAAGCAAACTAAATTACTTCCTGATATCATAATTGAGTCCATCTTCAGCCAACCGCAGTTCTCTTGGTTTCACGCTCTCTCCGAGTTAGTTGTATTTATGCATGGAGCGGGTACTTTATTGCCATACTGGCGTTCAAACACCCTAGAAACAAGGTGAGGTTAGAAGAACTTTTGTTGAGTCATGAGCGGACACTGCTGCAAAACATACTTTCTTGGATTTGTAAAGAAGATATCGCTTTCTAAAGCGAGTGTTTACGAGTTTTGTAAAATTTTTGGTAGCGGCAATCATCATTATATTCGCTTTTCTACATCCACTGTGAAACTAACTGTAAGACACTCGAGTACGCTTCAAAAAAAGACCTCATTTTGGATCACCTTTTACTTGGAAACAGAAAGAGGCAGGTTCGAGCTTGTCAGACAACGTGTGCTTTGGCGATCTCAATTATTGTATTTAGTCTCCTAGTCTCAAAATAGCTGAGAAAGTGCAGAACTTTGAAATAGGATCAGCGGACTGAATCACTTTGTTTGTCATTCTTAGAAGGCTCTGGTAAGGATTGGGTGGATGAGTAAAAACAGCAGCCTTCCACCCGAGTGCCTAGTAGGAATTATAAGTCAACTCCAAAGATTTTAGCTTGAGCATGACAAACATTTGGTGCATAGCTATCTGTTTTTCCATTATCCAAACCCAATTATAAATCAAAGATGTTCTTGCCTCACTGACTCAGCCAGAAATGTCCCAAACTTCATTTCAACATGTTTCACTTGCCAAACATGTTTTATCAAGAAGAGCTATAATTTATACCTAGTTGATCTGACAATGAGCATTTTTTCATTTTTTGTAGCATCTCGGCATCTTTTTATCTTTCATATTTATTCCTTGGTGACGCATGGCTATTTTATACACTTTTCAGTATAATTACTGATCTGTGATTACAGACACTAAGACTACATACAAATAGGGAGTGTTTAGTCGGCGCTAATTAGAGGAAAAGCGTTATTGGATGCAAATTCGTGTATATCCTTGATAAAAAGGTCCGCTAAAGCATTTGAGCAACGAAGAAATTTTGTCAGTATAGAGAATAATCAGGAGGTTTTTGATAGTTTCATGCTGTTCCTTTTGGCTAGGAACAGCTAATAAACTTGCAAACCACACAAACCTTCATGTAACCTCACCAACCATGAAAAGGCAGTTCAAAAGAGATAGAACATGTTTCCTTCTTGCTACATGGGTAACGAATCAGTTCTCGCAAAGTCATAGAATCTTCTATTTTGTAAGATATAGTTGACATTTTTCTTGCAAGGAATAGGTCCGAATAACGGAAAAGTAAATGTAATGTCTTGAGATTCAGCAAAGGGGAGCATGAGTATTTAACTCGGCAATAACAATGACAAGAATGGGTTTGTTGCCCTTATGTGCTCTCCTCATCCAGTTTGATTTCAAATCGCCGGACAGAATAAGACGATTTTTTTTCGCACATTCATGTGCTATTTGTTTGTAAGTGCAGTAAGTTTTACCCCAGAGCAGAAATTTTGATATTTCTAGCCAAGGATGACTTGTTTGCCGAAAGTACCAAGGCTCTAGGGAGTGCTGAGCAGTCGCTGTGCTGCAATGTCGCGACCTTGCCTTGAAGAGGGCCCGAGCGGGCCGCGTACAAACCGGCGCATGGGCTCAGTGCCTCGGCCCACGCTGGCCTCCCTCAGACCTCCATCGGTGTCGTACACTCTCATTCCAGCCCCCTCTCCGGCCCTCATTGATTGGCCCTTCCATCGCCCCTATTCCATCACTTGCAAACCAACAGCGTGCGCCATCGTCACACCGCTACACTTCTTTCTTTGGCACAACTTCTATTTCCCTCTAGCTTCTTTGTCTTGTATTGTACGCGGACAAATTATTTCCATCAGTATCCGCATTCGAGGCTGGTTGTAACATTGCCCTATGGTACACGAAGCGAATCCAATGCGATTAGCAAGAAAAGCTTGGAATCATCTAGGACTGTTTACTCGCGAGGAAGCTGTCAAAGTAAGTTTCAATATCATAACCCCTTATACTGCTGATCAACTCCAAGTTTCATGCTTTTGAGAACTTTTGTGTATGGACATTGCAAGAGTAACTCTGACCTGATTGTAACTATTTCAAAAATTTCGTCTTTAAAACTCGTTTTTACATCCGAAAATCTCAATGAAAGCTTACCTTTTCTTTGACATCATGAATCCTTACAAGTAGATACTATATACGAAAAAATGATTCTTTTAAATGGAAATTTAGATCGTCGTTTTATTGTACTGAGCTTTTTGAAATACTCTTACTAGTCTTGACTTCCCATGGTTTCACTCATTCCATCTCTTTTAATGCAATCATTTATACTCTAAAAAAAGAATCGACATTCGTTTATAAAAGTTATCATGCTAGTTTATTGTGCCGTCTTTCTTGAGAATACCGGCCAAAAACGATAAAAGAAGTTGCTAAATTAGCGTTCTACACATTCACCGTGAGCTTTATGGTTAGCCAAATGAAGTATGCACTTGTTGAGAGAGATTTTTTGAGCGTAAAGAATTTGTTCTCTCCTAAATCCGCAGTGCATAAAATAGGGCCTTGTTTCGAGATATTTTATGGTGGCAAAGACGGTGGAATTTGTTAATAATTGTTTGCGGAATTTCTAAGCCGCGCTTCTAACTGTTCCTAAAAAAGTGATTCGTTTGAGCTTGCATACTGCCGTACAGCTTGCATACTGACAAGTAGTTGGTGCTTACATTAGTCTTTTTGGGAAATGCTGCTGGAGAGTTTGGTCTTTATCGGTCGTCAATAACTGGCATGCGGCAGCGGTCTAAGAAGTTTTTTTTAGGAGCTGGAGGAGCGAAAAAGATTTTTTTGGGGGAGGCTCCTCAATTTTTTAGCAACTCTGCAACTTTGTTTCAAAGACAACCGCCAAAAATTTTTTTGCAGGACACTACTCAAATTCTCTTTTTCTAAACTTACACTGCTGTGCGAAGTCTTAGAGAATATTCTTATCGTGTAACTGTTGAGTTCTTCAGCATATTCACCTTTTCACCTCGAGAAGCATTTACTCTTGACGGCAAAATTTTGCTATCTCTTGTTCCTTGTATCTTCTTACAAGGAGAGGACACTTGGTCGAAGAGGCGTCTCCATATAAAATGTGTATCATTTCATAAGCATGGAGCGCTTATTTCAAATCTGCTTTCGTTATCTGCAAAGCGCTTTCAGGAGGGGAGTTATGGAAATTTTTTGATGCAAACATTTGAAAGTGCCTGTACAATGAAACCATTCAGAAATTTAGTCCATGAGCTCAAGTGGGGCCATGATTACTACCAGGGCGTTTTATGCGATGAATACCTTCAATCTGATAAACCTATGTCAGTTATTACTCTTTTCAAGCGTCGGGAAGGGCTCAATACCTGTTCTTACCTCTTTGGCAAGCTCTTATATTTTTCCTAAAAAATTTCCCATAACTCCCCTCCCAGAAGAGTTCGCAGATAAGAGAAGCAGTTTGGAATCAGCGTCTCATACTCTACAAAACGTATGCACTTCATACGGAAACGCCACTTCGACCAAGTATCATTCCCTTGTTAGAATCGTCTGCACTGCATGATGATAAAGGAAATGAATATTGGTAGATGACAGTGGCGTACCCAGGATTTCCGCTCGGGGGGGGGGGCGACAAAAATTTTTTTCAAATGAAGGTGCGTGGCGTTAGCCACGCACTCCGAAAAAATTTTAGGGGTGCTTCTCAAAACTTTTGCGGGTCCCCAACCCCTAAAATCTGGAAAAAGGGGGCGTGGCGTGAGCCACGCCCCCGAAAAATTTTTTTTACAAGGCTAATTTGAATTTTTAAAATTTTTTAAAAATTATTATAATTATTTACAAGTATAAACAAGTCATTTGCACATTTTTATAACCCTTACAAGTAACATTCAAAAATTTCGCGACCCATTCTCGGGGGGGGGGGCGCCACTGGTAGATGATAATATTGGGGACATTTGATCAACTGTCTATTTGCCAAGAATTTGTCGAAAATTGTAGGTGAGTTCAAAATTTTTATTAGGTTGTAAAAGTTTTGTTAGTTTTTTGAAATGACACGCAAATCTGGTACAGTAAAGATAAACAACCAATTCAAGCTGCATCTGGCGAGAAATTCCCTCTTCTTCCCAACTATCGTATACTCAACGTAGTTCATTGGAACAGTGCTGAGAAATGGCTAGAAATTACAACCCTTCGTTTTCACCACGTCACATTCGCTAAAAAAAAACCTTTGTTTGCGACTTTTGGGAAAGCTTTGTAGCCAGCAGATAAGGCGAACCTTCTGCAAATCGATGCAATTTAGCTCCATCGCTCTTTCAGAATTTCTGATATCTATTTCTTGAAGTGGCCAAATCTCATGTTTGGCCTACTCGAACCTCATAAAACACGTGGTAAACAGTTCGGGTACCATTCGATGCACCCTTTTCTCCTCTCTCTAAGAATTGTCTTATCTTGACGAGACGCGGGATTTGCGTGAGAAGACAGTTTTCTCAAGCCCAAAGGTGCGCCCTGACGTACCACAAGTTCTAAATCTCCGTATTCTAAGCAAAAATCGCTCGTTTACTATTTGAGTCCAGTAATAGTACTGACCGAGTTTTGGAACCTCCGTGTTTTGGAGGTTTCGAAGTGTTTGGTGCAATAAAGTGTTAGATCTCTCCAAAACTCAAGAACTTTGTCAAATTTTGTAGAAAAAAAGAAGCTAAAAAGAACATAAAAAATGCTCTGGTTGGCAAATGGTTTGCCCTGCTTGCTGACCGTCAAAGCTCCCCCACCTCAAATAGTGTTTTTAGAAATTAGTGGAAGCTAGACATGTTGAAAATGTAGGGCTGTAACCTCCAATTATCTCAGTATTATAACATTGTGGATGTGCAGCGAGAGGATTTTTTTTTCGGGTACAACTTGAGTTGATTGTTCATCTTTACTATACCGGATTTGCGGGTTCAAAGAAAAGACAGTTTTTGCAAATACCTAACATTTTAGTAAAAAAATTTCATTTGCAGCTGCTTGAGGAGAAGATGGTATCGCAGAAGCGACATGTGCTTATGAAGGACTGCGTTAGAATTATTTACTACTGCCACGTAAAGCGTTCGAGTGGATGTCGTTATGAGATGAGCGTTTGCGTCCCCAACAACCCCGAGGAAAAGGTCTACCATATATTTTTTGTTATAATTAGCAGTAGACGAAAATAATCTGAAAGGAAACCAAAGGAAGCAATGTGTTTAAGTTGCGAATTGATGATTTCTGCGTACATACTTGTAATCCGGACAGCGCACGAGTTAGACGAAAAGCAAAACCGCAGATTGGTGATTTTTCCAAGCCGCTTGAAAAGCGAAAGCCTTCAGCTAGTTCAACGGCTCACAAAGGCGAAAGCCGTAAGTCTGCGCACACCTTATCTTCTCCTTGCTCTCATTTTCAAATTTATAGAAGTTCTCGTTCAGCTCTGCCATTTCCCCTCGGCGATCCAATGCCCTCGTTCTTTGCTAGTGAAGGTGATAGGTTCGAAGCAGAAAATGCAATGGAATCAGGCGCACAGGTATGTCATAAATTGTTCGCTGAACAGGGTATTCATCAAACAGTCAAGAAACAGCTACTTTCCTACATGAATCTCAGCTATGCCATGAAAGTAATGAAATCAAGAGTGATGTAGCAAGCTACATACGTATATGTTCTAGCTATAACAATTTCTCTCATCTTCAGGCCTCTGAAGGAATTTATCTACTCCGCATTCAAACTTTTCTGGATGAAACATAGGGTTTTCTACAGATTTTCGGAAGCTCTCGTCTTTCTGGTTATGCGCAAATATTGCTGTGCTTGTATAGCTTTACATTAGTGTTAATCAGTTTCCTCCCATTTGTGCATGGTTTGCTGGTGGAATCTTCAGTCTCTTTCATGCGGTTTTCATTTTCATCTTCTAGCTCTCTGAAAGTTGTAACACTGGAGGTCTGCAAATCCTAAAAAGACTTTAGCAGCCTAGAAAATCAAGGGAGGAAAGAGCTAAAAATGGCTAACTCAAGCGCTGCAGAATAGTCCTGCTCTTAGGCCGCAGAGTTCACCCGATTTAATCGCCGCGATTCTTCCAGCAAAACAAACAGTTAGAGTCCATTGCATGGCGATCATCTTGCGTTTCGGTTGTGATAGTTTTTCAACACGACCAATCGTGACTAACATCACAACCGAAATAAGGCTTTGGCCATACTTTGCCCGTGTTGCCGGTGTTGAAAGTGTTGCCGGTGTTGAAAGTGTTGAAAGTGTTGAAAGTGTTGCCGGTGTTGAAAGTGTTGAACGGAGGTCATCAGTCTAGCAGTTTCATTCTTTCTCGAACGATCTCAACGGCTGGTGAATACGTTGGAAATGGAATTGGGGAATGAGAAATGAAACTGAAATGAGATGGGGAATGTTTTCGCATGCAAAAGACCCTCAAACAAACTTTTTGAGAAGTGGACGGCTTGTCTGGAATAGGCAATCTCCAATATTTGAAAAAGCTGAAGTCTGAGTAGTAATGTGTGCTTTAGTTCGAATCCTGCCGCGCTTGCGATTAGTGAGTAAAGGACCTAAGTGAGGTTTGCAGCGTTTTCCTATTCCAGACAAGCCGTCCACTTTTCAAAAAGTTTGTTTGAGGATCTTTTGCATGCGAAAACATTCCCCATCTTATTTCAGTTTCATTTCTCTCCCCAATTCCATTTCCAACGTATTCACCAGCCGGTGAGATCGTTCGAGAAAGAATGAAACTGCTAGACTGATGATCTCCGTTCAACACTTTCAACACCGGCAACACTTTCAACACTTTCAACACTGGCAACACTTTCAACATTTTCAACACTTTCAACACTTTCAACACCGGCAACACTTTCAACACCGGCAACACGGGCGAAGTATGGCCAAAGCCTAAGAGAAAATCGGCATGCAATGATATTGATAGAGTTGTCTTGTCGCGATGAATCGCGTGAACTCTGCCTGAGGCCTTAGATAATTAGAACGTGAGAGCGAAAATTTTTAGAATATTACTCGCCTCTCCAGCTTCCATAAGAAATTCAGTCTTGGCAAAATCAAGATTCACTGTAACATAACCTTGAGAAATTGCTGATACTTCCTCTCAATTCAATCTCGTGATTTTGCATTGCAAATATCACGAAGTTGTGATAATGGAGCAGATGCATTACAAGAAACATTTATCATTATTGAGAGACTACAATTCTTGGTTTGGTGCATAAGTTCGTGCACCCTTTGGAAGATATAAACTTCTTGCTATCTCTTTGGATTTTCAAAAACTTGGTTTTACTAGACAGAGGAGCTCTCTAATTTACGAAAGCATTTTGGTGTTCTTCGCCAGAGATATTCTGAGATGGAAGCGGAAGGAGAAATCACTCCATATGCACTCTTTCATGCTAGATCGCCAAAACTTGATTTTTGCAATAATATTCAAAACAGTCGAAGGAAGTTATTCTCTGGTTAAGGCTAAACTTGTGCTGATCGAATGTTTCTATAAAGAGTTACAATTTTCGGGCAAGCAGTACAAAGTACTAGTTGTTCATGATTTTTTTTCAAAATTCACCATTCTTCCTAAATATCTCAATCAGCAAAGGTTTTGCGGTTTTGAACAGAATGGATCATAAATCTTATATCAAATTTCAGATTTATAGCGACGCAATAGTGACGATACTAGAATGATTTTTTTCTACTGCTTCCATCCTTTGTTGAAAACCATCATGTTTTGGAAAGCACATAATATTTTCCTTTGAGTTTGAGCTTTTGCAGATATTTTGATTGAGCAAGAAGTTATGATTTTTTATCCCGCAGGAAGTTATCATTTTTTCGAAAATGGTGTAGTGAAACTTCTGCGCAAACCTAATATTTTTCCCTAAAAGACTGAGACAAATGCAGGTCTTTTCCGAGCACTCAGTTTCACAAAGTAACAGATCATTCACATCTCTACCAAATTGTTTTAGCAGAGATTGGAACATGATGATCACGAGGAAGGACCAAGTGGGAACCTAGCCAGATTCCTTTCGGAGATGGGAGATCGCACGGAGCAGGTAACATGTAACTCGTCCTCAGGTCTTTCATAAAGTCAGTGAGAGAACGAACCCGAAACAAAAAATATAGGGCAATGTTGGGGCTTATTAGCTAGGAGTACATCGCGCTTCCTCCCTCCCTCTGCCTGCTTCTCCTTTTTGCCTTATAATTTTCATTCAAGGCGGCATCGACTAGCCAATCTTCGGCGTCGACTGTGTGGTCAACAGTGGATATCGATATCGTGGACTTCACTAAACGGCCTGATCCTCCATTTACCTACGTATTTCATGCGAAGGATGAGGCAAGAAAATAGTTCTTGAAACCATATTTGATCAACATATCTAGCTGTTGTCAGGCATCGCAATACTCATACGCTTTCCCGATGATAGGAAATCAGCCGGAAGTTGTTGCAGATGCCTTGCTAAACTTATTCTATCTATTCGGCCCCTCAAAAGCGGTGAAGTTGGAACCTTCATATCGGGGTGCGCAATGAGATAGCGTCCGAGTCTACATATTATGCACGAGTTTTAGGGACAGTTCTGGAAACGATGCTATCCGAAAAGTTTCCATCTACACGCATAGTATACTACTCTGAAAATAGAAGTAAACAAGGCGCACCAGTGCCAAGGTAGGTAAATGTACTGTAATGCGAGTAAATAATACAGATTTTTCCAGGAGAGAAGAATCGATGATTCGAGAGAGGATATACGCTTGGCTTATGGACAACGGAAAAGTAAATTGGTTCAATCACCTTAACGAAATAAAACACATGCACAACTCCGAATGGATAGACGAATTGGGTGAGCATTTTTTTAAGTTCGAGGTGTTGGTTGTTCTAAAAGCTACTGATATTGCCCAGAAATGATTTTTGGTTGATCTTTGAATATTTCTTCAGCACTATACAATCGAAAGTCATTGAACTTTCAAGTCTGTAATTTCTGAAGTACTGGATTGTTCTGAAAGTTTTGTCGGTTTTTTTCATCACTCATTAAAACAGCACACCAATCCATGGACGATTCTAGGTATCATTTGTTTCAGATTTTTATCCTCTTTCTTACAGCTATATTTTTTTCTTTTATCTACCCTTTTTCTGATGTTATCGCCAACTTGCTTTTTGAGCAACTCAATAGTAATGCCAAATCTTTCCTGGGTTTTAGAAAATTTTCTTCTGCTATTCTTAAGAAGCCCTAATAACCGTTATGTAGAGCAAATCTTTGGCTACATTGTGCTTCTTTCTAGATTACATGGGCCACGTTTATGAAGTCCTAAATAATTGTTTAAAGAAAAATCGCTGTTTTTTTGGCTACGTCTACCACGTAAAGTGACCGAAAATTCCAAAAAGCTGATTTTTTGAAGCAAATCAAACTTGGTTACGTTGCATAAGTATTCTTCATTAACAATCAAGTTTTACTTTGCAAAATTTCAAAAGCTTCCATGGTTTTGCTGCAGATGCGTGTTTCATGACTTCGCCAAAAATTGAGATGTCCGATACCGCATAGTCCGAAAATTATTCTATTTGTGCCATATTCAAGCCTTTCTGGAACTTTAGAATGAAATCTTTGAAAATAGCCCAACTCTGAGCAGATAAAAATGACGGGTAAAGAATTGTGGCAATCTATACCTATGTTATATAAAACTCAAACACTGTACCTTTGTCTGTTAGGATGTTTGTGTCTTATAGATTCCTTTGTATGTTAACCGAAGAAGCCGAAATTTGTTCCCCTATGAATGATAGGCTGCTTTTCACGACTTTTCGCTGGGTCCTTCTATCGACTTATTGATTTGTTTAGTAACATCTAGGAAATTGAAAGCTATATCATTCATTTCTCCAAGTTAAGTAGTAAGGGGCGGTAGAGATCACTCATATTTTGCGGTGAGGAGGATGCGGTGTCACGAAGCGAGGCGGTCAAGAAGGAAGGCAAATTCGCCACGGATACCACAGGAGCGCTGCAATTCAAACACGGAGCTGAAGCAGGAAAAGAAGAGATGTTATAAGGAAGTGGAGGAATGGTTAGCGTAAGAGGATTTGGAGCAAACACTGCCGGGCCACTTTGGACCCTCGGCGCGGGTAGGACTGGGGACGGCAGCTAGTTATCAATAAAAGCATACAGGATTGTGGCTTGGAAATGTAACCACAAGAAAGAGAAAGGAAAGCTGCACCGAATGCATGTTGAAACTCTTCATTCTCTTCATTCGTCTTTATTGTGAGTAGTTTTATAGCGGTTTGAAAAAACCAACAATGCTTACGGAACAACCTAATATATTGCTCATATGCTTGAAATTATTAGGAAAGCCGATAACAAACGAAAGCATCCTATTTTCTAATAGGCTACCATGGTCAAGTCTGTCAAAATCGTGCTTTCAGTTGAATATTTTACCTCATTATAGCATACTATCGGCCATGCTGAATATGGAAGCTACTTGTGCGATATAGTTGAGCACAAAGATTAGACAGTCATATTGGGAAATTTGTAAAGGTGCATGATTTGATAAACCTACGATTCCGAACCCGTTATTTCAATCTATAGACTTGCTGTTATTTTATCTCAGATGAGCCATTTACATACACTTCTAGAATTGATCTACTTTTGAAAAACACCTAAGTCAAAAACCTAAAAAAAATCCCCCTAGATCCTTGAAACAGACTTAGAAACATCATTGATGCACTAAAACCAAAATTACTTATACGTCGCTCTCTTCAACACACGTTTTAAGGTTATTTTGCGGAGAATCTGCTGAGCAGAAAATCGTGGACTTTTGTAATCTTTTCTGTTCATAGTCGCTCAGCTCAACTTTGTTGTTATTGCCATCAAGCAAGTTCTGGAATTTTCTATACTGTCGTGGAGTCATAAGCCAAAGCATCTTGAAGGCAGTAGATCGCCAAAATGAACCATTCTCAAATTTTGGTACTGTTAGATAGTAGAACCCTCAAATACACAATATACACAATAGCCGCAGTTCCACCTTCCAGTTCACAGCCTAAGATCTGAATTCATGCTCCAAAAATTCCATCAATGTTTCTCACACAGTGCATGTGGGCAGGTCGGTAAAGATTTAGAGCACGATTTTCAGACTCAGGCCAGAATTCGAAGGTGGGACTGGGGCTATAATCTTGTGCAGTCTGCTATCTAACAATACCAAAATATGACAAGGGTCTATTTTGGTTCCACTGCCTTTGAGGAACAATTCTGGTAACTCTGATAACTCATTAGTAGTGTCCATCATGACAGAACACAGTATAATGTCAGAATCATTTCTATTGTGTGCAAAAATGAGGCGCGAAAAACTGATTACATGACGCAGTTCTATTAGGTTGTGTAATAAGTTCTATCCCATTTTCTTTCGATTTTTTATCAATATTACTCGATTTGCGATAAAGTGTATATGATTTTGAAAGCTCTGAATCTGCTCTGCAAATCGGTATGCTTGATCCCTTAAAGGCAGTAGGTCGGCAGAATGAGACCCGTGGCAAAACAAGGTCACAGGGTAGGAGCCCCATAATGGAACCTATGGGCCAAAGCTCGATCTTTCTCTGCCACTTCTAACCCCCGAAATTTCAAAGCGAAAGCAGCGCTCATCTCCTGTCCTCTCCGAACCCGCCCACCCCATGGACGAGTGACTTCCGCGGTCAGAGCGCCAGCCGCAATGCTATAAGCATGAGGTCCCGCAACGACTCTGCGTCTTCGCCATGACGGGCTTCGCGTTCACTCGTCCAAGGGGTGGGCGGGTTCGGAGAGGACGGGAGATGAGCGCTGCTTTCGCTTTGAAATTTCGGGGGTTAGAAGTGGCAGAGAAAGATCGAACTTTGGCCCATAGGTTCCATTATGGGGGCTCCTACCCTGTGACCTTGTTTTGCCACGGGTCTCATTCTGCCGACCTACTGCCTTTAACATAGCGGGATACTGAAAGCGATCATTGGCATCCAAAGAAAAAATTTAAAAGGGCAAAAAATCCATTTTTGACATTTTTTCTCTCCAAATTTCCCCGTTTTCCATTGGTAATTTTCATTCAACAAGCTTGACAACGGTCAAAACAGCTTAGACTCTTATGGTTGTTATTGTCACTGTTTGTGCTTGTTCACTTCCTTCTACCGACTTTTTAACGTCATTTTTTCAGAAGTGTCGGCAGAGCAAAAATTTGCTGCGACGATATACGTCGTCTCGGCTACCTAAGCTGTGTGACCCTCAAACATTAAATTTATAAGTAACTAACTTAAAAATTCGATTATTTTATAGTCAAGACCACCCTTATTGCCTTTTCTGGACTATCCGGCTACCGTCCTTTCTCAGGACTGCTTTCACCCAACATCAAATTGAAGAGGCGTTAAGAAGTTTTTTTTTGAGTATAAAGAAAAATTTCTTAAACTTTTCTGCAACTTTTGAACCTTTGCAGAAGCTAAGCATTTTTTCCTTACGCTCAGCAGATTTTTCGAGCTGTCTTGAGCATTATGACCTAAACAAGGGGCCACTCAAATTAGTTGTCGAAAATGGATTTTTTTCCTCTTTGTTTTCCATACTTGATGCTGGGGTTTTTTTGAAATCCTTTGATGTAGGAAAGTGAAGTGAAGACTTTAGTAGAGCAGAATTTCTGCTTTCAAATGCATATATACATTTTGCAAAACACCGTGCAAAATATGGTGAAAAAATCGAAAGAAAAAATGAGACAAAATTATCACACAACCTAATAAAAGAAGTTTATTTGCTTTATAGGTGGGACACCTATGGAACTGTTCTTTGGTCGATCCCGGCTCTCTAACCACAATATGTCAGGTAAAATGGGAGCTAGCAGTTGTGATGACGATGTTATGAGCGACACGCACTCCAACAATACGAATGGTTAGTCTCGCAAGCAAAGCTTCGTAATCTTTACGCTTATTTTTTTCATATGGACCGGAAGAAAAAAGCTTTCTAGCTTCTCAGTCATAGCTCAAGTCACTGATCGGAACAAGCCCAACTAGATGGCCTTAAACACTTACACAAAATTTGCTCTACCCAACTGAAACCAAAATCTAGAAATTTTCAGCTATGCGAAAAATAAGGTCCCCGTCCAAAAAAAAAATTCTCCGAAACTCAGTTGCGCCCTCTCACACTGCTGTTGTTATTTGTCAGGGCTGGAAATCAAAACAAAAATATTCTAAGATACGGCGACGTCGCATTTCATGCCAAATTTGACAATCTTCAAAAATGAACGTAAGGCCGTAATAATTTTGCCTATAAAGTTTGTAGGATAGATTTAGTGGATACTCTACATTGCTTGACCCATGCTAATATCCGTCTATTCGATTTTGTCCAAAAGAAATACAGCAAGTACTAGGTTGCTAGGAAAATATTGTCGCATTTTCAGCAATCACGCAATATCACCGCAACACGAATAAAAGATAAAGGGTTGTTACTGCTGGACAGAGCAAAACAAGCTCTAAGAGATGAAGCCCAAATATTTGCTACATGTTTGATCTATCTGAAGTGGATGTCAAATCTCAAAATTAATGCATGGAAGATCGAAAAAAACCTCTCCGCCAACAAAATCCTAGGAACCCCCAACTAGCTTACGTATACCTCCTCAGAAACTCGTATGCATAGCTTGTTGATCCTTCCATAGCTGAAAATCAAGGGGACGAAATTTGGCATGTGTTAGCCAAACCAATGAGTTTCTCTTAGATAGGTTCTATGGTCAGAACCTATGGAAGTGTAACCATGAAATTTCGATTACAAGGAATAGTTTTCATTATCAAATTTATCGCAGAAAAAAAACCCGAAAAACGCGCCACATTCGCACCATGGAATGCCACAAACTATGTTTAATATGGAGAGTACAGGCCTGTACAAATCGGAAATCTCCACCTTTGTGGATGGAGATGCAATTTTTCGGATATTCGAATTATTCATTTCGTGGCGTCAAACATCAAGTGGAACAGAGTTTTTGCGATTCCTTGTGGTCCATCGCGAAAAGCTTGCTTTGCTCTGTCCAGTGATACCCTCTCACTTTTTTCGTGTCCGCCGCGGTAGGACGTAATGTGACATTATTTTTTGAATAGCCTATATATTTATATATGGATCGCTGTTGTGGAGAGTTGCGTGAGCAAACTGAAGCTTTGTGAAATCTTGAACGCAGATCCGACTGAGTCATCAAAAGTTTCTGAACAGCTTTGATTTTCACGCATATCAAACATGCAAGCTTTTAGAACATTGTAGAGTTTATCAAATAGATAGCGATTGGCAGGATTTCGCCATTATGAGAAAAATTTAGCTGATCTAGTATTGGATTTCAAGCACATCGTTACGCTGCCACATTCAGAGACCAACGATTTGGATTTGAATGTACCGTCTTTGGAAACTCCTACTCCTACTGTAAAGAGCGAACTCTGACCCTGTACATAATCTAAAGATGATCATCAAGCAAGCTGTTTTTCAAATCTGTTTTTTGTTGTTATTTGTTGTTTTTCCATCCTACATCGATGGCAACTTGACATGTAAAATCACATTCTGTACATCCAAACATGAAACTGTATCTAATATATTGACTTTTTGAGGATATGCTTGAAAATTTCATGAGCCTCATTGTTATTTGCTGAATTTCATTTTAAAGACATGAAGTACATTCTCACTTCTCCATTGTGTTCGAGAAGTTCAATGGCTTTCAGTGATGGCTTTCGTAGATAAGAGAGTTTGAATAGTTATCCAGACAATTTTGGACGCGTGGATTTCTTTATGCAAATTGATGAGGGCCTTAGCTGAGCCATTGCCGAGCGGCAGCTCATAATTCGTTTCGGACGAAGAAATTTTTAGTCTTGACCTCCAGCCCAGACCGTATACATATACTTATCGCACATGAAGACGCTGATTGGTGGGATTCGAAACGGCCCATAATGGTCTGGAGTTAAGAGTTTTTTCGGTCAAGTCTGCAATAAATTGGAAATGAATTATTTAAGAATGCTTATTGAGGCTACACAAAGTTCAATTATGAAAAATCGTTACTGCCGCTTGATTCACATATTTATTTCTAAAGATCTGCAAATCTTAATTTTCACTGGGATTGCACAATATACACGTGGACGTACTCGTGGAAGTCACATATCTACAACAAAATCTACATCGTCACGATAATTATTACATCAACAATACTTGTACTCTTCGTCGATGGACTGCAGTGCTGCCTACTCAGATAACAGAGATGACATTCAAAAAATCTCCACAACAAAATCTCGGAGTTTTAAAGTCGCTATACAGAAGTAAAGGAAGTACTCTGGATTGAAGAGTTATTACAGAAAGTCTTAAAGGGATGGCGAGATAAGAACTGAGGCACTAGCAAGATATGGAGATCAACAGACAATATTCTATACGTATTTTTCTTAAAAGGATAAATAAGTGCCTCAACAGTTGTACTCTAAACAATCAGTGAATCATGAGATGAGGAGAGGGATACGGAGGCGCTATTCGAAAGAAAAACAACACACGAATCCAAAGAATCATTCAGCTCGAATCTTTCATGAAGGCAAGTCAGCAGCACCTTATTATCTATCTTCTAGAAAATTCAGCATTTATGCGATGTTCCTATTGTCAGAATAGTATAGCGGACTCGAACACAATCTTTTTTACCTTGCCCTAAAATGCACAACACTATAGAAATCTGTCAATTTAATTTGCGAATTAGCCCTGAGCGCTTGAGATTAGAAAGTTATTCATACTGCATACTTCATGCACAGGTCACGTTTCTACATCGCCTTCGTCATCGACCTCTTCATCGTCGTCATCAGCGCCTTCTTCCAACTCACAAACGTCGACGATAACGTCATCCTCCACTTCGGTTGGTGACATAATAATTTCTTCCTGTGAAGTCTCAGTGATGTGCCGATCACGAGCCGTAGCCTTCTGAATGGGGAGGTTATGGAAACAAATTCGCAAACGAGAAGAATATGTGAAGACAATAGGATTTTCATATTGGAAGCTCTAAACTCCCTATCTCTTTCAGTTACGTATAGTTCCACTATCATAAAAGATTGTGTGAAGATCATCACGGTTTCTGCATTGTAAGAACCGTCGAGAGTTGGAATAAAAATAAAATAAAATAATTCCCTTTCCCTTCCCATAATTCCAAACTTTCTAACACCGACAACCGTTTTCTCGAGCCAACACAGAAAAAGAGTAAGAGTAGAGAAGGGTATGAGAAACAAAAATCAAATACGGCGTTGCAAGAATGTGCGTGAATTTTTTTTACTTGCAATGAATAGTTGAAATAATTCTCAGAAACTACGAATTTCCCACAAGTTCAAACAGCTCTGTAAAATTTTCTCGGGACTTGACTACAGCCAGCTTCTTTTTGAGAATTCCAAGGTTACTAGTTCATAAAAAAGTCCGCGGGACCCTCCCACATTCGGCGACGTATAGTCCTCCACCCCCTCAGCAACAACTGACTGTACGTACGCGGCCTGTATACTAATAAAATACTTTTCGTTTGTGCTATTTGTTCGCTTGCCTGTTTGTTTTGGGCCGCCTTCGGTGTTTTTTTCCCAAAGTATATAACTTTTGATGCTTCTACGCTAACCCGCCAAAGACAGAAAATAGGCTCACCGCGGTAGTCTTGTGGGAAGAACTAAGGGCAAGACTGTTGTATCACTGTATCAATGTACTAATTATAATAACAGAACATATCATTGGCACATTGCAATTACAATTAAAATTACATTTTTACATAAAGTGAATTTGTGCACATACTGAATGTTTCTCCCTATTCCGTGAACAATAAAAGGACTTGACTTGAAGAGCCTATTGTGGGGGTTTTCTTGCAAGAACATTTAGCTGAGAACGGGTCTCGAATCTGAGAATCATAGACCTACAATCTCGTTAGACTGATGATACTATAAAAATATGATGTGTTGGAAAGAGCAAGAAAAGCGCTTTCTAATTGTACAAATAGTATCCTATTATGAGTGAAAATCTTCTAGAACGGCTGCTTCAAAAACAAGGAAAAAAAATAGGACAGAACTTATGCAACAGCCTAATACGTGCATCATGTGAGAAGGAGCTTGATGATTGAAACTGCTGATATCAATCATTGCTTCATATTGAGTTTTGCTCTTCCATGAAAAATTTTCATATGCTGTTTGTAACTTACCTCGGTTTGCGTGCGATCTCTATGCTCAGGTTGCTCATTGACAGGCGAAATATCAGTTGTATGACGAATTCGCTTTGGTGTCGACGGCTCGCCTGGTAGTGAGCTGACAGAAAGGAGCGAATGATCGCCATCGCTCAAACATCTGAAATCTATGAATTAAGGCGCTGCATAGAGCGTAGAAGTCAGAGACTAAGCTCTGCCAGTTCGTCTACAAAATACAATATGCAAACCTTCTAACATCACGATGTCTTTGGAAAATTGAAAGTCCAGCCTTGGCTTGATGTCGCGTACTCATGTGTCGAGTAAGAACGTCGCGACGCCTCTGAGAGAAGAAAATAAAATGATGCAATGCTCATCCACAGCATTATTATCACGTTACTTTTTTATTCATTTGTTGCAGAAGAAAAGCGTTCTTACCGCTGCATACGGACAGATAGTACACTGATAAGGTTTTTCATCGGTATGAGTCCTGCGATGAGTTCGCAGGTGATCGGATCGAGAGAAGTATCTCCCACAAGTATCGCAACCAAACGGTTTCTCCCCGGTATGACGTCGTAGATGGCTGCAAGTGGTCCAGTAAGTTATAGAGCATCACCAAAATTAGATAAAATAAGTAAAGCTTTGATCATAGACCATCAAAACCCCACAAAACTAAACATTCTTCTAGTTGACTTGGAAGTAGATTTTCCTGGAGCATCCAAAAGGTTTTCACCGAAGAGTGGAACTCATATTTTTTAATGAACTGAAAAGGTAGTGAGATGAAAAAATACCAAAACAATTCGACAACTGTCGAAATCTTATACAGGTTGAAAAAAAAGATGAAGGATAAAGCATTCGGAGTCTCCAATAGCTGCGCGCTAGGGGACTATATGTCGTCAAAAGTGGGAGGTAGCCGGACATCTGCGACAAATACACATTCCAATACATACACAGGCTGAGTATCTGCTGCAGTGTTCGCGCGGGACCCTCCCACTTTCGGGGACTTATAGTCCTCTATCTACCCCCCTCCCCTCTGCCATGCGCCGAACGCACTCTACTTCATAGTCGAAGAGGCTACTGAATGCGTGCGATTACAGTGACTTGGAGGAAGGGGGGGGGCAGTCGATCACCAAGTCATTGTTCGTCCCAGATTACTCTGGTACTAATTTACTAGCCCCGGAGAGCAGAGGACTTGGTTGGCCCTGGGCCGGGTTCGAACCTGAGTCAGTTCTGGTCGTAGCGTCTCCTCTATGCCCCCTCGTCCTTCCCAACTCTTTTTCATCACTACCTTTTTCTTCCAACTGTTGCATTTCATCAGTACGTCCATTTATCAGAGATGGTCACGCGACTTGATAGAAGTTTGTATGGTTGATAAGCTTTTGACACTGACTCAACCAAATGGTTTTATGAACTTAGAAAATGGTTAGTTAAACATTCCCTTGAAAGAAAAAACATTAGTTTGGGCCGTAACAAAATGGTGGCTTTTCAAAATGATTAATGCCAACGCTCTGGAAATTGCCCCTCATCCTACCTCATTCCGCCCTTGTCCCTCCCAAAATGACTTCTACAAAAGTCATTGAAATTTGAGCAGCAATTACCTCTATTAAGAATCCATGTCACCTATTCCCTAGCTTCAAAAGTTCAGACATTCCAAATTCTGGCTGCGCCCCCTCTATTCAGTGAGACCGGTCTTCACGAATTCCATGTGATCGAAATGATAATGCGATAAGAAGGGTAGGTGGCGTACGCTTATCGTCAGGTCATATGAGTGCTCTGCAGCGCAAAAAGTGATGTAAAAACCTATTACGTTGTTTGATCATTTTAGAACATTGTTTCGAGAATGAGCTCGTTATCATTGGGGTGAATGAAGATTGCAACACTTTGTGAAATACGAGAAAAAACGTACCGAGACAGTATGTCAGGCCGTTTGAAGTCCTTTTTGCAGATGTTACAGTAGTACTGCTTCTTGTCGTCGTCCTCGGCTTGCGTTTCCGATGACAGCGATGCTGGCGATTTCTGCAGATCTGAAGAACTGCCGTCTGTTCGTGGCGTTGGAGACAGGCCAACAAAGGAAGGAGAGGCTGCTAGCCGATAAGAGTCCGTAGATGACAATGGGCTAGACATCGAAGGCGAGACAAGCGAATGTCCAGTCGATGTGAGCAGAAGATACTGCAAAAATTCTTTTTCATAAATTTCTAATGAGTTGAAGCAGTAAAATTTGGCAGATTCATCACAAGGGGCGATGATTATCTCCCAATCTCTAATCTGTCGCGTACCGTTGAAAAAAGGCACCACGGCCCAGTCGCGCACTCGACAGTGGTGAAAAACCGCACGATCATAAGACCGGGAGGTAACTAACAATAAGTACCCACGCTGAATTTCTCATGCAGATAATGATTTGGAGACCTTAACTCAGTCAATGCCCAAAAATCAACTCATATGACTTATTCGGCACAGCGACCTCGAGCACGGTAGAAAGACGGTATAGTTGACGTTCACGTTGATACTGCTTGCCCAAGAATGACCTACAAGCTGCTGCTGGGGCAATAACTTAGCTAAGGTCTTCCATTCAGTTACCATACAAAAATTCAGATACTCAAATTAACTTTGCTTTATTGGCGAAATCTGCAATTAAGCTGCATAATGCTTGGGTCCTTGGCGGATTCGTCCACTCGGGTTAAGTGGTCAGCCAGCCCTGGTACTTTCGGCCATACCTTGCGTCCCGGTAAGGGAACAGGAATTCGGAGGGGATTACTTGCCTACAGAAGAGGGAGAATGTCCTGTACTCCAGCTGGAACTCTCACCACCTGTCTCTCACTAACTAGCCGAAACTACACATGTTAATTTGTGCTATGTTTTTTTCTTTTTTGGCACACCGTTGGTGTATTGTAAATAAATAAATGAATAAATAATGCAAGAAACTTACATTGAAAGCATTTCCGGCGTAAACCTTGTCCAGTGGAGTGTTAGGTACGGATACACTCAGCTGATTGGAGAACTTTTGTGGAACTGGGAGCGACTCCGTACGATCGACAAGCTTCTGTAGAAGATCTATGATTAGATCAAGGGCAGACATAGCGACGAATGGCACATGCCAAGCTGGAGATCCGCGGAAGAGCTTACAAGTTCACTGCATGTATATGTGATCAAACATGTTCACACTACTTCAAAACAAGACTGAGCAAACATTTTCGTGGGCAAACATGTTTATACAAGTTCGCGAATTTCTACAAAAAAAAGAAACGCATATTTCTCCTTGCCTTAGACAACGAATTTAAAGATCTTTGCTTGAAAATTAGTCTTAACAACCCATTAAAAACGATGCGCTCAGACTTCTGCTATGCTAAAATTTCAATTATACAGAAGTGTAGCGAAAGCCTGCTCTGATCAAACTGTACGTGCTAAAGCCAAACGTGAAAATCGCTTTATTCATTGGCTTTTCTGTGTTCCTTCGTAACAGTTCTTTGGATAAAAAAAAGCGACAAACTTTCCAATATAAACTAGAAAGGTTGGTGTATGATGTAAGCGTGATATAAAAATGCGAGCCTATTTTTTTGAATGTATTTTCTGTTCCCAAGACTCTAAATAGCTCTACCTGTGCCAAGCCTTTTAGATCTTAGGCACACCCTATACTTGATCCGCTTGATCCACTCATTCACTCGCTATTGGTCAAATCAGTGAGCTAACCAATAGCGAAGAGGATGTCTACTTGATCCACTTTCCTCTTGATCCCTTTCATCCCTTCGCTATTGGTCAATTTACGATTTGTTCAATAGCGGATTGGATGAAGTGTGTCAAGCGGATCAAGTGGATCGAGTACAGCGTTTTAACTTTAGCAATGGCTAACAGAACAAAGAAGCTCACCTCAGATTGTCGAGTCGATTGAATTACAGACTCTTTCCTCTGCAAGGTTGGATGAGCTCCTAGGTCGTCTTGCTGTCTTACGGTTTTCAGGACATCTTTCAGCTTTTCTGGATCTTTTCGTGATGAAGAAGGAAGATCGAAGGCGCTGGTGATCTCTGCGCATCCTTTCTGCGCTGAAATGTAAACCTTATAAGATTCCTTGGTGAATGGAAGAGAGGGTATATAAACACACTTTCAGAATCTTTGCGGTACGGTATGTGATCGAAAGTGAATCGACTGGTGTTTGCGGTACTGCTTGATGGTGTTGGTGTAGAAAATGCTGAGTCTTGAACGTGAAGAGGAGATAGACCAGGCGGTGACAATGCCATCACTGTTGAACCTACTGATGTACCTGAATAACGAAGTTGTAGAAAAAATTTCACGGTACTCACTCAACCAGTGGACGCGAACACAAAAGACGTTTAATACTTTGAAAAGGAATTTTGCTGACCTACTGCTAGCAGATTTGGAGGGCTGAACTGTAGACTAGCCACCCCACTATCGGAACTCGAGCTACTCGTCCTTTCGTCTCGGTAGGCATACCAACGATGAAAGATGACCGAACTGGTTGTTACTGGTACTCGCGGCTAGAAAAGGAATTTTTGAAGTACCTATGCATCAGTCATTTCACTTTGATAACTCTTGTGCTTCAATTTCTTCCGCCAGTCTTACAACTGTTCTGTAGAGCTTGTTTTAACCTAGACTTGTTGTGAAAGGCGATCTCCGATATCTCTCTCTCTTCTGTAGGGTTACGGTATAAACTTGCAGCATATCGTGCCATTATAAAATAAGCCATTTGATGAAAAAAATTTCGCAAATGCTGATTTCATTGCGCAACATTTTTTACAAATTTTCTGAGCATTTTAGTTGTGTAGTCGCGATTGGGAAAAGCATTGCAAAAGCAGTGCTACGGTTTACTTGAAATTACTCAAAGCAGAAGCATGACTGGATTTGCATTTGGTAATATCAGCGACATTCGCTAGTACAAGAGTTTCGGGTAGTTTATTTTCCTTTCCGAGGCAAAATGCGACTCTCAATTGCTTAGAACCCTCTGCAAACTTCCTACCGTAGTCCTACAGTATAGAAGAGAGATAGAAGATTTGCACTTCACTGTGAATCTAACTGTAATTTGAAGCAAGCCCTACATAGTGGTACTTGAAGTTCAGCAAAACACATCAAAACAAGAGAGATATTAACGATCGATTTTTCGGGAAATCTTGTATAATATCCTTCTTGTTTTAGATATCAAGATTGAAAGATTATAACTATGAGCTCAACAACCGATCAAAGATTGGAAATGATTTAGATCTGTAACGGATTTCTGGAGTTTTCTGGGTCAATGAAGTTGATTGAGAACTTAACAATTTTCTTTCAAATATTGCTAGATACACTTAGAATTTTTTTACTGGATGTCAATATTTACTTCCCATAATAAAACCCAGATAACATCGATTAGGTGCTTTCGTAAGACAACAACTATTGATATTTGTTGAGGAAATCGAGAAAATCCTCAAAAAAGTCCCGAAGAGATTAGCGAATACTCATCAACAACTCAAAAAATAGCTTGAGGCTGCATGATATCAAAATAGGAAAAAGCTAAGCTGCCGCAGACATTTTTGAGAAATCATGCTCTTACAGTAACTGCAAAAATGGCAATGCTATTCTGCAATACTAGCGACGACTGCGTCACTGTTTCGGAATAGATAAATCAAAAATAATTATTAGAGGTTTGGTGGAGTGACTTTCATTCAAAGCCTTGTTCCAAATTCTGCAATGTCGGACTTATTTTTCTTATAGACCTAGTTAAGGCTAGCCTGTACTACCGATCACATATTGGAAAACTCTAATATTTCTGAGTGGTAAGAGAACACCTTATGATATTATGCTATACCTATTGATCACGTATCAGAAAGCAGAAAAACAACTCAAGTACGCTGCTGTACGCCAAAATACTGAAAATTTCTGAAAATTTCACCAGATCGCTGAAGTGTAATATCTTATTAGCAGTGGCGTACCGAGTGAGGAGGCCCCCCCCACTTTCCCGAAAATGGGTCGCGAAATCTGCTGTAAGCTACTTACATGTGTTAAAAACATGTGCAAGCCCTTGTTTTTACTTGTAAGTAGTTCAAATAATTTTTACCTCATAAAATTCTTTTACGGGAACGTGGCTGCCGCCATCCCTCAACTCCCTCCCCTTCCGATTTCCGGATTATGGGCCACAAAAGTTTTGGGAAAAAATTTATGCTTGGTACATGCCTTCATTCGAAAAATTTTTTTGTCCTCCCCCCCCCCCCCCCCGAACGGAAATCCTGGGTACGCCACTGCTTATTAGATATACTTTCGGAGAGCATTTATACGCAATGGCATCTTATATTTTCATTCTTCCACTGTTTGCAATTTTAGGGCACTAAAAGCTAGAAACTTGAATCTTATCTTTTCGGATGACGCATTTCTATGAGCGAAATGAGTAAGGATGGTGAATCATGTCAATATTGCCAAACGCATTTATAAAATCGAATGTGATGTTTCCAGCGGAAAACAGAGAAATTTAGCCGAACTTACATCACTCATCAAAAAAGTGCAGAAGACAGTAAGGGAGGGGGTAGTGCTTGGATAGGATAGATAGACTCAGAGGGCGATAAGGGCAAGGGCGGAAGCTCTTCGACGCGGCGGCGGCGGGGTGATAACCCACGACCGCTCCCACCACCACGTGGCGCCGTCTCCTTCCAGAAAAAGAAAAGCTGATTACGGGGAAGAACACCCCATTTGGCTGTCATCCTAGAACAGCGAGATGCTCTGAGAGCAAGAATAGACTGTGTTGCGAAAAAGATAAGAAAGATAGAATGGGACAAAGGAAAGGGAAGAGTAAGTGCCACTATTGTAAAGAAAGGCTAGATGTACTAACTTCATCTAGAAGCATTCCATAGTGATTCGATCGTCTTAAGTGTCTCGAGACTACGCACAGATGCCATAACAACACAGCGTGACTGATTGTGTTTTGACTCCACCATGTTAGTACTTGGAATAGAAACGCTAGCCTCACTTTCGATTCCACTATAGAATCCCCGTACCGCCGTTGACACATTTCTAACCCACTTGTATAGGTATAAAACCTTTGATTCAACTGGCTTGGCGGCTGGAAGGTGGGGCTTTATGACCTAATCAAAGGCAGCGTTCAGGCGAGTCTGGGCACATGGGGATCTCACGTGGATAGTAGTTTTGGGGCCCTAACTAAGCCACTGCCCAACCGGCAGCTCAGCTAGTGCTCTAACGGCTGAGATATTCCCTTCGAAACTGGACCCCAGGATCGTATTTCGCACGGATTCATGGTTCAACGCGTGGGTCCTCGCGCGAAACTGCCATGAATCCATGCGGATGCGCCGGGGTCCAGTTTGGGTATATCTCAGCCGTTAGTGAGTCACCTGCACTGCCGCTTGGGCAGTGCCTTAGTTAGGGACCCAAGATTACTTTCCACGTAAAATCATCATAGGTCCAGATTTGCCTGGACACTGCCTCTAACCAGGTCACGAAACCCCCGCCTTCCAGCCGCCAAGCCAGTTGAATCAAAGGCCATAACTAGGTCTAGCTGACCCATATTGTACGATGAAGTACATTCACCGTTTATCACTACAAATAAGAGCGTTACCGACATTATGCGCTTAGAACTTCTTAATTTAAGTCTGCAGTTTTGCAATAAGCTGAACACTTGTTGTACTCGCATTGACCCATCTACAAAGCCATCTACAAAGCAATTACCTAATTTAATCAGCTTGTGTATCATTACCATAAGACTCAAATTTATTAGTTAAGCGGCTAACTATTAAGTCGCAATAACTTTTTCACAGAAACAGCTAATTTAAACTTAATTCGATCATTATTCATGCCTTATTAGGCATTTAACTGCTGCAAAACATTTGTGCTCTGAGATCTCGCTTTTTCTCCTTCAGGGCGTCGTAACCTAATTGCCATTACATGCTAAAGCCGATCTATTTGTACGATGTAACTATCACCCCTTTACTGGTATACTGCCAGAGTTGTAACAAGATTAGTACCATCCCACATCCCAAGAAAACATGAGTAGACAAGATGAGACTGAAGCTAGGGCCGATGATTGGTGAAGAATCCAAAAAGGTCCTTCCTCACGTTCTTGCATTTTCTTCAAAAAATTTACGGCCAGATTCTAGACGTAGGAAACTCTCACAAGGCCAAGATGTTGATATTTAGGGCATCTAAGCTACCACCTAGTTGTTATCCACTAGATTTGAAGGACTTGAAGGGTTGAGAAACTAGTTTGATGTTAGTACTGTGTGATAATTGAACCTTTACTGCAAGCACATAAGAGGCACTATAAGATGTAAGATCTTGGATCATACCATTTTGGAAATCTTACACCAAGAACTTCTCTTTAATCCATACGAAGCATATCTGGTATCTCACTTTTGTCAATCGATTCAAATCTCGTCTCTTCGTTAAAAAAAATTGTAGAAAGAAAGTAAATTATCAAGAAACATATGTAGGTAATTTGAATTTGTGAATTCGGTAATGTATGTGAACAAGTAACGGAAAATGTTAGGACGACCAAGAATTCACTTTCAGAAGAAGGAGTGGATGCACTAGTACAAATATTTTCCACCTATTTTGTAGAAGCACAATGTTCTTTCTCCTTTTCTTTCTGTCTCTATTTTCAATAAGTAAATGCTTTCATCTAGCTTTCCACCTTCTTTCCTGACCAACTGACCTTTGGCGAAACGATTTCGAATCGGGCAGGCGCAGAATGAGGCTGTGGCTCCCTACCGTAACCCGAAGGCGTGACGTAAGACGAAGACGGTTGGTCGTCGACCGCATTGGTCTGCTTGCCACCGTTGACGCATACTGTAGGCAGCATCAAACACGGCGGCTTGCATGGTTCCATTCCCTGAAAAAAAAACAACGGCTGATTTATTTGCTTTGTACGTTGAAAATAAAATAAACAGGAACAGGCTGCAAAAAGCGGTGATAACATTAGGAATGAGAAAATTTGTAGATTTTGGGAAGGATAAAAATGAGATTAGCAATGAGAACAAGTCTTCATGCCACAAGAAATTATAGGAAGTTCTAGTACCTAAACTGGAAATTAGAGCAGGTTATTGCAGAAAACTGCGGGTATGATTTATTGTCGCCGATACGTCGATTGAAATTCCAGAAAAATCGAGGTATAGGAAGCATATAATATTTTATCAGATTTTCAGCCTTATATAAACGGATCGCCTCATGGAGAGGGATAATGGTAAACCGTTGGAGAACATCCAGTCTGAAGCTGCTCGAAATAGGGTCTTAATGTCTACGACTTGGATCAACCACCCAATGCTGACGGGTTCCATACAGATCAAATAAAGACAGATCAAATAAAGATAATTGCTTCTGACGTTGATATCTATGTGTTACACTGGGATCTAAGCGGCTTTACAGCGTTACTCGCATAATCTGATACATACGATGTTATATTTGTGTAACAATATTTGCATTTCCGTTTACATGAAAATCGACAAGATCTCAGTTTGGAGGTCACTGACACGAACAAAGATTATATCACCAGGCATGCAGTATAATAAACTATCCGCTTATGGCCGAAATGTTTTTAATCTACACATGTCTAGCCCAAATTTTGAAGCCTGTGAAGGGGCAGTAAACTCCACCTTAGCATTAATTAATAATTATGTTTAATTCTTGCATAGAATGCAAATATAAAGCCCACTTTTGCGAAGACTAGATGAAGGCAAAAAATAATGCCAACCTAGTTCAGAAATTCCATAAAACTGAAACACAACAAAATCTTGGTTCCAGCCAATAGTATCCATCCCCAGCTCACGCGTCATTTCGTACCTACACACTTTTTGGCATTTCCGGAAACTACGGCTCTGAGCATGTTTCTTTTTCAACGATTATAGGATGTGTAAATATGGAGACCTTCTCTTTCAGAGGCTATTTTTGAAAAGGATGTTCAGTCAATTCTTTTTATTTTCATGCAATGGAGGATGCTGCAATAAGAGCTTCAAGTAAGCACCTCTTTTGATCCCTTGACGAGCACTAGCCCATAAAAAGCGCCCCAGAGAAAAATACATACTATGCGACACGCTGACACAAAAAACAAGTATTTCCTACAAGCTTCAAACACGATGACGTTGTATAACTACAAAATGACTACCGAGAAAAAATAAATAACAGAAAAAGCAAAGAACATTCAAATAAGCTTTGGTGTGCTTACGACCAACATTAGCGTCAGAAATGTGCAGTTGCACAATCACTCATGGATCTGGCAGCAGTAACGATATAAAAACTTAACGACAGCTGAATTCAGAGGTTTGAATCTTCTTTTTTATCCAGAAGCGGTTTCGACGTTACATATGCAAAGATTGTAAAAAGATCTCTATGACGTTCAAGTGCAGGTTTGATGTCATATAGAATTTGAAATCTGGCACTGACACGCAATTACAGAATAACTAACACACATCTAAATCGGTGCAAAGATATCTTCGGAATTTTTGCGAAATGGACAAAAGTATGACCCATAAATGAAGAGAGATAAACGTGATTTGTATAAAGATTACTTTATTGATGGAGGCTTTGCCAAATAAACATTGGCTTTGGGTGGAGATGTAACAGAAAACAGAAAGTTTGATCAGCAACACATTTCAATTTTCTCATTGGTCAAGAGTCCAATTATTGCTGAGTTAACTAATAAATTAGTCAGCTAGTCCCTGACTCACTTATCTTCTAGTCAAGTAGTTTGATAGTCAAGAAAATACTTCGTTGACTGACATGATGAGATGGAGAACAAAGTGAACTAGTGCTTTCCCAGACAAAAGTAAAATCACTGACGCATTTCAAAAAGAAGTACAACACATAATGCGTTTTACGTCAATGCTCTGTAACAATATTTCACACATCAATGAAATCATTGTGACCTGGGTAAACTTAGTTTTGAGAAAAAAACAAAGCATTATGCAAAAGCAATGCCACACAAGTTCATAAAGTTCAATTTTTTATCTGCTTTGAGATTCAAAGAGCGGAGGCTTGGCTATTTTACATTTGCGCAGTCGAGTTTGAAATCACTATTCAAACACATCTCAAAATCTGAAAACAAATTATGATCCTATACTGAATTTTTTTGACGATTTTATAGAAAATGACAGCGAGATAATCTTAACCGGTTGAAAGCAATCCAAACATTATGAAAAAAGGCTTTGCCTTAGGGTAAATCATCGAACCGGGCTTGGACCGCGAAGAATCTTTCAAGGTCTTAGAAATCGTAGCGGTGGTGGAGGTAACAGGAACGAAGAAGGGGGAGAAACGGGGGGGGGGGGGGAGGGGAGGAGTTGGTAGGAAGAGACAAAGATTTTCTGAAGTTGCATCTCAAGATAAAACTCATTGTCAGATTTAATTTACAAATGCAAAAGCATGTCCGTAGAAATTGGAAAAAAAGAATAAAATTTTTTCTAAGAAAGACTTACTTGATTTACCGAAGAAGTATTAGCAAGCTTAGCTGACTGGTGTGTCCAATAAAATTTCTTTATCCCTCCCCTTCTATCTACCTACATATCCACAAAGACAGGTCTGAGTCAATGTTGTGCGAAATTGTGATTTTCGAGGTGAAGAGATTGATCAGATTTCAAAAGATAATAATCAAGGAGTTTCCTCAAGTGGTGACTCCTCTGTCACTTCAAAAAATCAAGTTCTTCTTCAACAACAACATTTTCTCTTCAAACTCAGAAAAGGTGCAAAGGATCTTCAAGGTTTGATAAAAGCATGACAACGCAATATGAATACTTCTTATGAACATGAAAATATGCAAGTTTTTTTTGTGCCTCCATAAAAAAGTAGCGTTTGATTGCGGTGCCGGAAGTAGGAGTGATGCTTAATTTCTGAGATTGCCTGGTTCCACCTTCACCTGAGGCACGCCCCTTTTTGGCTTTTGCTTCTGCTGTCAGGGAACGTAGCAGCTGAGAAATGATTATGAGCCATCAACATTCGGACTAAGAGCAGGTACTTCATAATACAAACGTACTTCCTATTGTCTCTTACACCGCGCGTCTGAAAATCTTGGGTGCATGCAAATAATGTGGATAAGCTGACCTGAACGATGATTCTAAGCACAAAAACCAGCTCTTTTTCGTCACTAGATCGGAGGGTGCTCCAGCAGTTATAAAGTTTGGTAAACTCAATGCAATTTATAATTAATCAACTAACAAGTAGTATTTATTTTGAAAGTATGACTACGGATTGTAAAATTTCCATTTCAGAGTTTCAAAAACCGGTCACCGAATAGATTTCAAAGGAATCAAAAGATGTTATAGGGGAGAATCCGATAAGATCTAAATAACAAAAGCGATTGCACGGGACGAAAGTCTTTGATTAAAAGGGGAAGATGCTTACCAGTTCTAGATTAACAGCTTCGAAAAGTATGTGGAAAATTTAGATTAATTCTCGCAATTGAATGGACGAAGCTGAGGCCTTTGCATAAGATGAAAATATAAAATAGAAGTGAAGGATATAGGAGTAGGTGAGTATTTTCAAGGGATTTTTGTATTCTTTACGAGCCATCAGTCGATCATTTTTGTCCAGTTAAAGTTGAGGACTTTGAAAAGGGCGACAATGAATCGCTACTCTCGGCTAATTACAGCATTTACTAGTCGAAATTATGCTGAAAAAACATGAGCGGAAGTTATAATCAGGGGGTATGTCGATATAATCAATTTTATTTTATTGTTGGAAATTCCGGTGCGACATCAGTCCCACACTCGTAATTGCATCCACGAAATTGCTTGGAAAAAGCACTTGGCAAAATTTGCCGTGAATTGCATTTAACAGCCTGGGTAAGCACTAATACGTAAAATGCTCTCGTGAAAGGTGGAGCAGTTACAATTTCGAGTATCAAGAATAAATATGAGAGAGAAGATTAGTGTGAAAAGCGGCAACTTACTGAATCTCGTGGTTAACTTCTAAAGGTGTTTATTTCGATAGACATTTCAATAAAATAATGGAACAAGAGCAAAAAGTTGATAATTACCATTTCGATAATTGTTTGAATTCAGAAAAGAATAAACATGACCTAAACAGCGCATTGTATAAAATATACTGTAGTACAAGCTGTAAACAAGAAACTGATGGAGTTTGAGTGTTCTCGTATCCCAAGTTAAGGCAAATACTTGCCATCAAAAATCATGTGACACGAAAATAACAGAGGATAAAGAAGAACTGGTTTGCATCTTAGAGACAGAGTTGGACAAGCTCGAAGTAGTGAGCATGGGCAGGAAATTGGAAAGTGTTATGCATGTGTACTACACCATATAGCTAGGGTTATAAATGGCTAGAAACGATGATATAATAATATATTCTTTGTTAGCGTAAAATAGAGCATAGAAGAGTGCGTCGCTTACACAAATGATGAAAAATCTCAATCCATAATATCATCATTCGGCACACAATTTGATCGCCCCATTCGAAACATGAAAAATGACGAAATAATTGTACATATCTTGACCACAAGGTAGCTCACCATATGATAATAGAGACTTATGACGTGATGAGTGGCTTTATTATCATAAAAATCTTCGAAGAACGTTTTCACTACCTAGTTCTTGGCTGGAATTCCCTACAGTATCCTCCATTTCCTGATAATTCCCTAGTTTTCATTGGGCACTGATATCAATTGTTCACTCCACTTTTTAGAAAAGCTACGGAGAAAACATAATTCTTTTATTCTGTATATTAATTTCTTCATATATAATTCCAGCTTCGTCTCCTTTACTGTCACACAAAGGGCGAATTTGCGATGTATAGTACTTAGTATATATAGCATTATTACTGAATTATTACTCAATTAGAAATGAGGAGATTGGTGATCCGAACAGGTAACTAATTTTGTTGATTGCATAATTT